CAGGGAAGAGCTCAGCTTCCCCCCAACCCCATGGTAATCCCTGTGTCTCTCTTTCGTGCTTTTCTGAGTATCTCACAGTGTTGAAACATAGACAAAGGCTGTCCAGGAGAGGAGACAGTGGTGCAGTGACCCCGGGGCACTCAGCTGTGGGAGTTAAAGCAGGAACAGCACAAGTGTCAGGCACGTGGAGGTGTTCTTGTCGGCCAGTGGGGCGGAGAGGAGCGGGGTTTGTAGGAGGTCAGAACGATGCAGCGAAGACCTGGCCGCTGGCCTCAGCAGTCCTGGCTGGACCTTGCTCCAGCAGGAGTAAGTCAGGGAACACAGGAGGACAGTATCCTGTAGCCCTGGGCTGGCCTTTTGCTGCCACCAAGCCCAGTCAGGGTCACAGCTGCCCTGGTGGCAGGGTGCAGGGGGCGTTCCATCACGCAGGAGGTTGCATGTTTCCGGGAAGGGAAACCAAAAGCCCTCAGCTCCATGCCTTCTTCAGCAGGGACAGAGGCAGAGCGGACAGCTGAAGTCAGGCATCCTGAGTTGGGGAGCTGCCCACACTGGCTGCCTGCAAGAGCAGGTGCTGGCAGTGGCCACTGGGCCCGTACTGGGTCCTGCCACCCCTCCCCTGCTTTGTCTAGGGACTGCTGGGGTGGCCAGGAGCCCTGTCTCCCCGAGCTGCTGTCTCCAATGTCCTACGTGGTAGACTGCCAGAGCCCCTCGCTCCCTCTCCAGGTGCCCCAGCAGCCCCCATCCCTACCACACACTTGGAGTTCATCCTAACCATGTCCCTGGGGCATGACACAGCTGAGGAAGGTCACCCTGTCTCTCTGTCCAGTTGTGGGTTTCTTAGGTTGAAGAGGCTAGCACCTGAGAGCCCCTGTGTCCTCCACCCCACCCCCGGTGAGTGTGTGTCCCAGAGGCTGGCAGGGAGTTCCTGGAAAGGGCAATTGGATAAGCCAAAGAGCCTGAAGAATGCAGGGAAGCCAGAAGGAGTAGCATTGAGTGGGAGGTTCCTGGGAAGGGCCTTCTCACGGCCCCAGCGACTTCCTTCCATGAACCACCTGGGGCTGCAGGTGGCCACAGCAGGAGGTCCATCCTGGGGTGGGATGGGTTGCATTGGGTGAAGGCCTGGAGCCTGCCTCGGGCCAGGCAGCACTTGGGTTTGTCAAGGAGGTAGGGCTGGGGATTGATCAGAGGCGCAGGGAGACAGGTGAGAAGAGGACAAGACGGAGGCACAGGGATGTGGGACTTGCTCGGAACTGGTCGGAATGAGGGTGGAAGGAAGAGGCAGCTGCCAAGAGGAAGGACAGGAGGGGAGAGGCAGGGCTTGGGGGTCCCCATAGGACAGAACAGAACTTAAACTGTAGGGAACCCACAGACTGTTGGGGCCACCTGAGGGACGGATCCATGACATGAAACCTCGCTGTCCTGTGACTCTGCTGGTCCCTTGGGCTCCCTCTCACTTGTCCTATGCCAGAAGTTCTCAGAACATCTTGATCTCATATCACTCTGCCTGCTACAGTGATTGAAGGACCCTAACCAGTTTTGTCTGTGGCTCCCATCCCGTCACGGCTTGCCATGCTGGAGAGTACAGCCAAGAGGACTTTCCAGGATTTCTATTTGTTCCAACAATGGTGAACCCACACTGCGTGTCAACATAATGATGTTTGGTGGGGGAGGGCAGTGTGTCTTCTAAAATAAGAGCAAAAGTTAGAAGTGTGACTTTTTATAAGTACTAGGAATGCAGCTGGGTGCCCTGCTCTGAGCCTTGGGTGCTGCTGCTGGTGATTTTGGTCAACTCTAAAAGAGGAATATTCAGGGGACCTCATGGGAACCCAGTTTCTCAGATGGCATCTTAGAACCTGACATTCTAGGAAGGAGGCAGAACATGCCCACTTGACAACTCGAGAGACTGAAGCATGGAGACAACACCAGGTTGTTCTATGTCCCCCTGTTTAACCCTGAGGTCCCCTGGAGGGAGGACCGCCCCCCCTCGCCCTGCCCTGGTCCCAGAATAGCCATGGGTTGAACAGCTCACTGGCCTAGGGCCTGGGGAGGAAACCCAGGGGACAGGTTCGGCCGCCGGCTGCCGGCCGTTAACACCCACAGCTGAGTCTGAGAAATGCGATAGCGCCGGGCCCCGGCCTCCCTGGCCCCATGCTCCTGGGAGGAACCCTGTTCCCAGAAGTCTGTCCTGGACACTGCCGTCAACCTCGGAGTTCATTTCCTGGTTAAACAAACATCGACGTTCAATGGCCCAGTTGGGCCACGCCCAGGAGCAGCTCCTGAGGAAAGCCCAGTGCTGGGCCTGCTGGGCCACCTCCTCAGCCGTCCGGCAGAGACACATCCATCATGGGCCGTCACTGCAGCAGAACTGCCCGCATGGCCCACCCCGAGTCTGCCCGTCTGGCAGCTGGGGCTTAGGGGACGTGCAGAGCGGCCTGTGCTCAGAGCCTACTCAATGTCTGTGCCTGCTGGCATGCAGATTGTAACAGTGGCACCACGATAGCGCCCAGAGCTCAGAGAACACGGTCGCTGCCTGCTGTCCTCCAGTTGAGCTCTGCTTTGCACCTTTGCTGAAGGGCTGGGCATTTGCTGGCCTACCTGTGCAGACAGGGAGCAGGTGCTTCTCAGAGTGACCCCCTCTATCCACCGTGAGCAAGGTGTGAATTGCTGGCTGCTGGGTGCGTGTGCTCTGCTCTGGGCTCGGACACTTCAGTAGCAATGACCTTGGACAAAGGATACTTATTGGTGCTTTAGATTCCTCATCCGTGAAATAAACATGGTGCTACAGGTGGAGTGACCAATCCCTGGGATGCTTGGGACCACAAGTGTTTCCAGTTTGGGAATCTTGGCATAGACTTCATGGGTTGAGTGTCCCTAATCTGGAAATAGCCAAATTCAAAACGCTCTGAATTGCATAACTTTCTGACTGCCAGCGTCATGCTCAGGAAATTTTAGATTTCTGAGCAGTTCAGATCAGCCCACCTATAGGGTCTTACCACAAGAGTTGTTGGGAACAGGGGAAGAGATTCAAACAAAAAAAGCACGTGTGAGCACTGGGTGCGTGTGCAGTTCAGCATACACTAACTGGTATTTCATGAAGTGGGTTCTATTCCTGTGTGCAGAGGAGGTTCCAAGGCTAGGACAGGATGGGGGTCGGACAGAACTTTTGACCCCATGAACAGAGGGCAGGCAGTCAGTTGTAATGTGGTGTTCTTGGGACCCCAAGACACACGCACGTTTGCTGGGTCTGTTGGCTTCCCGCTGCCTTGGCTGCTACTGCCAGGGGAGTGTGAGGCGGCCCTCAGTGTGCAACAGAGGCCTTTGCTTTATTCGGATCGGTCTTTTTTTTTTTTTTATGACGTCTTTGCATCAGTCAGTTGCAGGCATGAACTGCCTCTGCAGCCAACACATACTGTGGTATAAGACTGGTCCCACTGACATGATCACAGCTGAGATGGTTACAAGTGCGATGGGCTATGGTCCCATGCACAGTGCCGGGGGAGGCCTTGTGTCCTGGCTTGAAGGGAAGGGTTTGTGTCCTGACTCAAAGGATGGGTGCAGTAACAGATTCTCCTATCCAGGAGGCGTACATTGAAACCCAGTGACGTAAGTGCCGGGCCAGTATTAGTAGTAACCGGCTTAGAATGTGGCCGCTCCTTGATGTTTCTGAGTGTCTTGCGCTCTGTAATGTTACACTTGGAGTTTGAGAGTTTTGTTTGCCACAGAACTTCTTGTAAAGTGTCCCTCTGTTTTAAATCATTTGCAATATGCTAAAAACAGTCTTTGCTAATTATAGCATCCACTGCACTGCCGCTTTATGTAGCTTCAATTACATCATTGGCTTTATGACTAAAAAGCAAATGAAACCATTCTTCCTCTGGACACATGGCTCTGTCTGCCACCCTCTCAGTTATAGAGCCAGCCGTGGCAACGAAGGCTGGTTTCTGTGGCATTTATCCTGTGTCAAGCACCGTTGCAGGTTAGATTGAAATCCGTGTTTTTTTTCTGTGTACGTAGAGACATCTGCTCATTGAACTCACAGTCTGTCTGAGTGCTAGATAGCATTAGGCTTGTGCTTCTGTGCCCATTGTACGGAAGAAAATTGAGACATAGAGAAGTTAAAAGATTTTTTTTTTTCATCCAGTAACAGCTGGAGGCAGGAGACCGCTGAGAGCCTCCATATGCTAGCTCACTGCCCAACCACCTGCAGCAATCGAGGCCAGGCCAGACCAAAGACAGGTTTCCAGGGCTCAGTCTGGGTCTCCCCCAGTGGGTGGAAACCGAGTGCTGGAGCCACCACCTGCTGCCTCCCAGGGGTGCACGGGCAGGGAGCTGAAGTCAGTAAGTGCAGCAGGAACTCCAGCCCGCTGCTTTGGGGTGGAACACAGGCGTCCTAGCTGGCGCTCGACTCCCAGTGCCAGCCTGCCCTCAAGCACTTACTCGGTACAAAGAACACTGATTCATCATGCAACCAACAGAGGAGAGCTAGACAGCAAGTGCTGGCCATGCATGGTGAGGTTTGCATGCTCCCCAGGGCACACTCAGAGGGGTTGGTTAACCAGCATTCCACTGACAGGGATCTGGAGAGGCTTGCTTGGAGGAGGTGGTGCCAAGGCACAGTCTCTAAAGGATCACTGGCAGTCAGCCAGGCAGAGGAGGGAGAAGAGACCCCAAGGGAAGGGCACAGGCCCAAGCCCTCATTCAGAGAACCACAGGTGTTCAAGGGTGGCACTTGCTGTGGGGTTCTTGACGGAGCATGAGCCCAGCAGCCTTCTGGCTAGTGGCTGTTGGGAGCCATGTGGATAAGGGAAGGTGCACAGAGGTTACGGCCTCGTGGCTGACCACTCAGGAATGAGCCCAAGCTGCAGGCTGAGGAACACCAGACGCCTGCCCTGGGCAGCGTGCTGACCCCTGCTGCCTCCTCGTTATGAGCGTGGCCAGGGTCTGCTCTCTGCCACCCATATCAGTGCCGCCCCTGCTCATTGCTCTGTTTGCTTCCGCAGGTGGAAGGACACTCCAGAGCTCTTGCCATCGCACAGGAACTGCTGTCCTCGGAGAAAGCGTGAGTCCCCAGGCGGCTGCCTGTGGCCTTGAGCTTGTGAGCAGAGCCTCTTCCCCCCTCCCGGCTCCCACAGGAGGGGAGCTCATGCACACGCACCCCTCTTTGCCTCTGCAGGTATGTGGAGATGCTGCAGCACTTGCATCTGGTGAGTTTCTCATTTGGCTTGTCCGTCAGCCATCCCCTTCTTACGGGGCTAGGATCTAAGGGGCAGGATTGCCCTGGGGACACAGGCGATTTCCACTGGTGCAGGTGTGGCAGCCGCCAGGCACTCACCAGGTTCTTTCTGGGAGGTGTGTCTCCTGATCCCTGGCTTCTGCAGGTGGAGAGCAGGGGCTCTCTGTGAGGTGTAACCTGCCGGCTACGGGGGTGGGGTGGGAGGAGACCAGCTGTTTCTAGGAGATTGGAGGTTTCCTCAGCCCTGTTGGTGAGGAAGGCAAAAAGACCCGGACCTGGGTCTGGGTGCTGCCGAGAGTATAGGTTCACGTGCGTGTGTGTGTGTGTGTGTGTGTGTGTGTGTGTGTGTGTGTGTGTGAGGTTGCAAGAAGATAATGGAACAGCCGTGGGAACTCAGAGCTTTCCCGGTCATCCCAGCACAGGAATAATTATTCCCAGCCATCCTTTGGTCTCTCAGAGGAGTGGGGGGGGGGCACAGATTTGGGGGCCGCATGGCTGAAGGGACTGCCCTGTCACGGCTCACAGGGCTGCGTTCGGGCTGACAGGCGTGTCTTCCAACCCTTGCTGTAGGAGGGGAGTAAGGAGGGAGAGGCAGGACCCACTGGGCTGTGGCCTAGTCAGGACTGAAGGCTTGTCTGGAGCACAAGAAGTAACTCCCATGTGGGGGCAGGCCGCCCCGAGGGACACCCTGAGTTCAGCCGTCCTGCTGAGCTGAATGCTGGCTTGGCACTGCTGTGTGTCACTCTCCATCCTAAGACGGCCCGGGGCCCAGCGTACACCCCTGACTCAATTCACTGTTGTCGTGAACTAGCTGGGTTCCCCCACCTACCCTAGGAGCACGTCAGGGCAGGGTCATGTGAGCTCCCTGCCCCAAACAGGCCTTAGTCAACAACAGGCGCCACTGACCTGGTGTCGCCATGAGGGCAGGGGCAGCCGCGTCTGTGGGGGCAGGGCGGGCACAGACTCCAGAGGTCTGGTGTGCACAGCCACTCATGCCCACACTCACGTGGCAGCTTTTTTCTCTGCCAACCCATGGCCCCCAGGTGAGATCCCCCCACAATGCCAGGGCAGCCAGGGGCCTCCTCCCATCCTCCTCTCTGTCTCCCTCACTCCTGGGCTGGCAGCATGGCCACCAGGCTGGGTGTTTTATCTGATGACTTGGTAAGAGTTTTTTCTGGAAAATGCTATCCACTATGAAAACCTTCCATAATAATTCTCTGTCAGTGAAGTACTGTTATGTGAGTACTGGAGACAAAAACTACTGTGGTGGTTTAAGTAGCTTGGGAGTCATTCTTTCACATAAAATAACTCCAGAAATAAGAGAGCAGCAGGGTCAGATGTAACAGTTCTGCCAGGTCTCAGGACCAAGATAACATCTGGATTTGTGCTGCCTCTGGTCCTAGGGTTCCTCACAAGCACAGAATGGCTTCGAGCCCCACAGTCGCATGACCCCTTCTTCCCCAGCCCTCAGGACCCTCATAGGAAGAGGGGTGAGGGTAGAGGAGTGGGGGCTCCCAGCACAGTGGAGGCCAGGTGGGTCCAAGTGGGGACCCCCGCCCAGCAGCCTCAATATCACCTGGGAGAATTGGTGAGGGATTTACCCCCTGGACTCCAGCCTGGAACATCTACACCAACATCTGCCCTCTCCTTGGTTGCGAGGAAGATGCCTGAGCAGGCAACTCCCTGGGACCCAGTGCCAGGTACACAGCAGGTGGCTGATCCTGTGGGAGGCCGAGTTTCCAAGGGCCTTGTCTTGCTCCAGATACATATGTTAAATAAATTAAGTCAGAGTAACCTGTGATTTGGAGTCCACTGTTAAATATGCATCATGTTTGAAGTATTTTAATTATGCATGCTAATTTAGGACTTCAAAGGCATTTCTGAGCTCTGTTGGTTCCCCACCCCAGGCTCCAGGTATCTGGAGGCTGCCTGGACTGACTGCTGGAGCAAAGCTGGAGGCCATCACCGCTAAGATTTTTTTTAACAGTCCCATCACCCCATGGACCCTTGCGTCCTGCTCTGCCCCTCCTCTCCTCCATCCTCCACGCCTCTTCCCTGTACCAGACCACCACCTGTCTTGTATTTTGCCAACTCTGAGTGTCTCACATAAGCAAACTGATGCATATTATGGTCTGTCATGATGGACCTCCTGTATGCGAGCGTGATCTGCAGCCACGGCCACGGCCAGGCCCTTCCTGTTCCCGGCTGAGTAAGATTTCCTTGCATCACTGCGTCTCCGCTCGTTTATCCATTTGTCACCTCGAGAATATTTGGCTTCTTCTCACTTTCTGGCTGATTTGAAAACACAGTAGTGAACACCGTGTGTGAATGTTTTCCATTCTCTTGGGTGTCTGCGGGGGTGTAGGTGCTAGGTCGTGTCTTTAGCCTTTACAGGAACTGTACCTACGTCATGTTACAGTCAGAGGTCCTGGGGTCTCTGCTTCCTGTGAGGCCCATTACTGCCTCTCTGGGTGGATGGAAGTGGATTCTTGTGTGTGTTAAGATTTATTTTTTAAAGGTGGAGTTAAAGAGAGGAGAGACAGCGATCTTCTATCCGTTGGCTTATTCCTCAAATGGCCACAGTTGCTGGGCCAGGCCAAAGCCGCAGGCTTCCCATGCAGGTGCTGGGCCCAAGGACTATCCTTTGCTGCTTTCCCAGGCTGTATTGGAAGTGGAGTAGCTGGGCCTGGAACTGGCGAACGTGTGGGATGCCGGCACCACAGGCAGTGGCTTTACCGGCTACAGCGCAGTGCTGGTGCCTCTCTGTGGTTCTGACTTTGGATTTTCCTGATGATTGACAACAGCAAGCATCTTCTCCTTCTTGGTTGCTTGCACAGTTTATCTCTGGAGATGTTTGTTTCCCAGATTGGAGGTGGGTTGTTTGTCCTTTCATTGTAATTCTGTACCAGGGGCCTGTCAGATACATGATTTGCAAGGGTTTTTTTTTTTCCCTTAACTTTAGGCTGTCCTTATTTTCTGGATATGATTATTTGAAGCACAGAAGTTGTTCATTTCAGGGAAGTTTGTTTTTTTTTCTTTTGCTATTTGTGCTATCAATGTCGTATTTAAGAACATCTTACCCCAAGTCACAAAAATTAATGTCTGTGCTTTCTCCTAAAAGCTTTATAGTGTCAGTACTTACATTTATATCTCTGATCAATTTTGAGTTAATTTTTAATATTGTCTGCATGATTGAGAGGGACGCATACCCTTGTGGGCCTTTAATTAGGGTGTGAGGATCAGGTATGGAGGAAGATGGGTGGGACGCGTGTTTCAATATTTCTTTTTCTCCTGTTTCTGCAGGGGAGGAGGGAGAGAAGGCTGCTCTTTGCTGTCAAACTACATCAGCAGCCCTGGATGAAGGGTGGTCCTTTGATGGTGCCCTAGAGACCCTGTCATAGGGAAGAGTGCTTCAGGGGTGTTACTTAAGTGGTTTTAACAACCCTAAGACAATATTGGTTTTGTTGCTCCAGGGTTGAGAAAATCTTTCCAAGGTGTACTAGTTAACGGAGTCCACCCTAGTGCATCCACAGGCCTAGGAACATGCTGCAAAGCTTGGCCAGGAGACTTGCTCGTCCAACCTGTTCTACTTTCCATCCTCTGGCGAGGCAGTTGAGAGGCAGATATAACCACTGGTTCACTTCCTAAATGTTTGCTTGGGCTGGACCAAGCCAAAGCTAGGAGCCTGAAACTCCGTCTGCATTTCCCACATGGGTATAGTCTTCCAGATGTACCCACCCACTTAAGCCGTTTTCCACTGCTTTCTCAGGCATTGGAACCAATGTTCATATGGGATGCCAGTATTACAGGTGGTGGTTCAACCCTCTGCAACGCCACACTGCCCTCACCATGTGAATCTTTTAACATGAAGTCCAGTCCATTACCTGTTTATTTCACATGATTAGTACTTGTTGTAGTCCCTGCCTGCCCTGCAGAGAATAATTTTCAATATTCCAAAGGACCCTCCAGTGAGTTGCCAAGCCAAGTGAGGTCATGCCTCTGAGTCAGCCTGTGACCTGCCAAGGCAAGATGGTGACGTGAATGGGTCATGGCCAGGGTTGGCCAGCCTGTGGCCAAATGGAATCTCAGTAAGTCCAATTTATCTTGGCCACAACATTGGCAGTTTGACCACTTATTGGAAGGATATCCTGGCCACCTTGCAGCTCAGCCCAGGAAAGGGAGGTGTGATGTGACCCAAGACACTCAGCAGAGGGTTTAGGGGAGCATTATGGTTCCAGGAAGTGCAAGGTACCTACTTCCTCTGCAAGTACCCTAGCTCCTCAACCTCAAACAAGTCATCTCCCTTTTCTAGAAAGACAACATCAGCCCACTGGCTGTGTAAGGCCTGAGAAATCAGCAGGTCTAGCCCTGCCGAAGCAACTGCAAGTGGGACTTGGCGTTCAGCAAGCCTATAGCAAGCTTGTTTTTAATTTGATAGTTTTGTGTGGCTCACAAGTGATGTGGAGTATTCAAACAGCCCTTGGGAGAAAGCAGGTTCCCCACTCTGGTGCAGAGTGATGGAGAGGGCTGAGACTTCCAAGTCTGGCAGCCCTGGGCTCACGTCCTGCTGCTCTGATGACCTTGACAAGTTCCTTGCCACCCCTAGACCCAGGCCCCTGGTTGGAAAGTGGACATAACCAGCCCAGTAGTACTGCTGCAAGGACAAAATGAGACACAAATGTAAGCGTCGTGTATGTGTGCTCAGCCACAGAAAACATTGTGGTTCTGGAGTGCCCCCTGGCCTGGTGCTGGGAAACAGAGATGAGGGAAAGAAGTATTGCTTAGCTCGCAAAGAAAATTGAACTCCCTTAAAGGTGAAAGTTGACCCAAGGTCCCATCAGTACCCCTACAGGAAGACAAGGGTTGTGCATTCTCCAGGCCTTGGCCTGTACAGGGCAGGCCTGTGAGGTTGAAGCAGGGACTCAGCAAAGTGTTGGGGAAGAACCAGGTACTCATATGCAGGCTTCAGCCTGGCCCTCTGGCATCATCCTGCTCCAGTCCTGCACTTCCTATGTGGGGCTCTGTGTACACACACACACACACACACATACACATGTTGTGCACTTCCTATAGGGGGCCTCTGTGTACACACACACACACACACACATAGTGCCCCCCAGCCTCTCTGTTTTCTTCTAGTATAGACTTACCCCCTGCTGGATTGCTCTCGCCTTGAGTCCATGTATCCATGGTCTCCATGTGGCTTTCCCAGGCCTGACCCAGGGCTCTCCTCTGCTTTGCCACACACCCTGTGCTTTTTCCTGTCTCAGCACAGGCTCTTTTGCTGAGATTGCCTGTTGCTCCCCCTGTGTCCCAGGACATCCCTGCTGATCCCACATTCCCCTTGTGGTTTGTGCAGAGCAGGCACTGAGTCTATAAACCACGGTGGGGGCTGAGGGCTTCTGTGAGGATGCCCCTGGGACCTCTGGGGGTGGCGGATGGTGCCCCCTGCACTTGGCACCTGCAGCTGGTGGAGTTGAGGCATGGGTGATTGTGGCAGTTCTGATTCTGCTCCTGCATCTGAAAGGAGTAACCTTGGTGATGGCCATCCACCCGGCAGGGCTGGGTGGACTCATGAAGATTAATTAGGAACGAGCAGCCAACATGCGGAGCGATTACAATTCCAGCTCCTGGAGTGTGACATGAATGCCGCCCTTGGCCGTGTCTTTCCCTCACCCATGGGCAGAGGCTCCTCCAGGACTTCCTCTCCTTTTCTGTGACGTAGGGGTCATACCAACTGCCACCCATGGAAACATCCCCAAAGCCCCAGGGAATGCCTGACCTCACGGACAGCACCAAGCACTGTGGGCACAGCTTCTGTGTGCATAGATCAAGGTGATGTCTTGGTCAGGTGCAATCAGAGATTAGCAACAACTGGTCATAAATTAGGATGAATTAGCATACTTTATAGTAAGTATGACACCTGTGCTGGGACCAGCGGGTGGTGACAGGGCACTGTGACACCTGTTCTGGGACCAGGGAGGGGGCGACAGGGTGCTGTGACACCTGTTCTGGGACCAGGGAGGGGGCGACAGGGTGCTGTGACACCTGTTCTGGGACCAGGGAGGGGGCGACAGCATCCTGACATCATGTGCTGTATAAGGAGGCAGATGGCGGGGTGCAGGGAAGGAGCTTAGGCCACTGTTGGTCTTCGTTGAAATGTCAGGAGGCTGGCCCACTCTGTCCCAACTGAGTTGAGAACTTTTACCTTTGACCTTGCCACTCACCAGCGTTGGAGGCCTTTGTTACAGAGGGGCTTCGGGACCACCGCATTCAGTCTCCCAGGCTGCCTCGGAACTGAAGGGTGGCTTGTGGGTATAACATGGATATGCTGGGCAAAGGGGATGATTCACTTCCTACTGGGATGGAACAGGGCCACATGGGATTTCATGGGATTTAGAATTCATGCATTGTTTGTTTCTGGAATTTTCCATCTAACATTTTCATACTGCACTTGGTCCCCAGTAACACTGTGAAAAGCAGAAGTGCAGGTGAGCGGACTGCCCTTCACTGGAGCAGCAGTTTATAGTCTGCAAAGGGGGTGGTTTTTTTTTTTTTTAAGATGATTTGTTTAGTTGAAAATTAGTTGAGAAAGAGCAAGAGAAAAAGAGACTCTTCCAGCCGCCGATTCACTCCCTAGATGGCCACAATAGCTAGAGCAGGCTGAAGCAGGGAGCTTCTTTCAGGTCTGCAATGTGTGTGGCAGGGGTGCAAGCATTTGAGCCACCTTCCACTGCTTTTCCCAGGCCATTAGCAGGGAGTTTGGTGGGAAGTGGAGCATCCAGGGCATGATCTGGCACCCATATGGAACACTGGCACCACAGATGGTGGCTTTACACACTATTCCACAGTACTAGCCCCCTTGCAAAGCAATTTTGATGGTGGGGATGAAACCCCACAGCCTCGTGCTGTCTCTGGTGGGACTATTGTACCACTTCACAGATGAGAAAACTGAGACCAAGAGAGGGGAGAGCTGTCTGGTGTAGGGGCAGAAGGCAGAGGACCTGCCCTGCACCAGACACAAGGCATGATGCACCCTTCGGATGGACGTGGCAGCTACCTTCTCCCTTTCCCAGCATACCAAGGTGGACGCTGCCCTGGGAGACAGGGGCTGGGGCCTGACCCTCAGGGAGACACCATGTGTGGCTGGAAATTCCTGCTCAAGTGGGAAACCTTCCCTCCAGTTCAGAATGATCCTGGCACCAGTAAGAACTATGAAATGGGTGTTTAGCCTGAATCCCCACCAAGTTCCCAGGCTCGATTGCTGATTCTTACTCCCAACTCCAGCTTCCTGCCAGTGTAGACCCTGGGAGACAGTGGGAATATCTTGAATGATTGGGTCCCTGCTACTCGTGTGGGAGCCTGGGTAGTGTTCCTGGCTCCTGGCTTGGACCCAGCCCAGCCCCAGCCATTCTGAGCACCTGGGAAGTGAACCTATGGCTGGGAGAGCTTGCTTGCATCTTCTCCCCCAATGCTACCACGGGATCAAGCCATCCTCCACTGCTTTCCCAGGTGCACTAGCAGAGGGGAGCATCTGGGTCTTGAACTGTGTTCATATGGGATGCTCACGTCGCAGGCAGAGGTTTAACCTACCACCTCACAACAACAACCCTGGAGATGCGCTCATTCATGGAGGTGGAGTTCTTTCATGTGACTTCTGTGAAGAGACAAACCTGCCTTCCCTCCAGAAAATCCATGCTTGTGTTCAGGACTCGGCCGCTGACAGTCTCGGGGCCTGGCGATGGGACCTTGGGTCGTGCAGGACTGGGGCCAGGCAGGAGGCAGCTTGGCCTCCCTCCTTGGAACTGTGAGCTTGGGGAGCCACAGAGCAGATCACAGTGGCAGATGGTCAGATAGGGCAGCTGAGCCCTGTGGGAGCCCTGTGCCTGCTGTCCTGTGTGGGCACCTGCGTCTCTGCCCGTGTTGAAGGGACAGTGCTGGGGACCGATGCGATGCGCTCAGGCCCTGCCTCACCAGCCAGGTCTCGCTCCCAGCCCCCGTTCCTCCTGCCTCTCTCCCTCCTGCTCTCCATCCCTCCCTTTCCTACCAACTGGTCTGCTTTGCCTCAAACCCACCTGCTTCCTTCACCCTGCCCCTCTCTCCTATCACCTTCCATCTCTCTCCCTCACTGAGTGAGGACCAGGAAGACTTCCCCGGGAGGGGCTGCCCCTCCTCTTGGCCTCATTCCACCTCCTCATTTTTGATTGATGACTTATCAAGTAGTGAGAACCCTCCAGCCCTAAAACACGCTCTCTCACATGGTGCAGGGCTCCCCACCAGGGACACCCCTGACCAAGAGAGACCATCCGTCCTGCGGGCTGTGGAGGCGGCCGGCTCTGCGGTCTGCCTGACACAAATGGCTCTGAAGTTCACGGTAGCAGTTTTAGGAGAAACACAGAGCTGTGCCTCTAAGGGCAGGTGAATTTAAAGATAAATCCAGTGGATTTGAAGATAATTTTCCAGTGAGAAAAGAATCTGATGTGATCATCTCAGTGTTGATTATTATGCTTGTTTTAATTTTGGAATAAAATGAACAACAATAGAGAACTTTTAGGAAAAAGAGATAAGAAGGGTAAAAAATGAAATAAGTTGTATGTAGTTCCCCATGCCAGACATATTGGCATTTCTTTCTGAGGATGCTTGACATATTGGTATTTCTTCTCTTTTAAAATTTTTTATTGTTTTTTTTTTTTTATTGATTTGAAAGGGGAGAAAGAGACTATTAGAGAGCCTTCATCCACTGGTTCAGTCCCCAGATGCCCACACCCACGGGGCCAGGCCAGTTCAGTCCGGCTCCCCCATGCTGGTGTCAGGGACCCAAGGATTCGAGCCACCCGCTGCAGCTTTTCAGGGTGTGCGTTTTCTGGAAGGTAGAATCAGAACCAGAGTCGGGTCTAGAACCCAAGACACCCCGTGGGATGTGGTGTCCTGGGGCACCAGCTGCCCTTCAGCCGCCTGCCGTCGTATCCTTTCTGGATTTTCTGTCAGTGTGGTGCAATCGCTTTACATCATCAGCCTTGTCAGGGACTGGGGTGGCTTTGGGCTTTGTTTTGAGACAGTGTAGCCCATGAGCCTCTAGCCTTGGGTCATGAGAGAGCACAGACACGGCGTGTCCTCGCAGGAGGAAGGACATGGCCGGGACCCCGAGCCACAGGCGGGAGTGATCTCTCCAGCCCCAGCAACCCACAGCTCATGGGTCTTTTGGGCTTCCAGGATTTCCATGGAGCCGTGCTGAGGGTCTTGGATGACCTGGACCAAGAGAGTGGAGACCCACTGGCCCACAAGGAGCTGAGGCAGGGCTTGGGCGAACTCCCTGCCATCCTTGACCTTCATCAGGGCATCTTGGAGGAGCTACAGGCTCGGCTGTCTGACTGGTAAGTGACACTTCCTGGGCCCAGCCAGCCCCCAGCCCCTGTAGTCTTGCAGGGATGCCCCCCCCCACCAGCACTGCCCTATGCACTGCTGGTCTCCCCCAAAGTAAAACAGCACCAGGCATTGGGCCGAGTTCCCCACCCAGGGCTCCTAACACTGGCCTACTTCAGGCTGAGCTCCTGCGCCCTGTCCCCCAATGCACAGGGAGGTCCAGCAGAAAGTGGCCAATGTCTTCCTGACCCGGGAGCAGGATTTTGACCACCACGCTGCCCACATCCTGCAGTTCGACAGGTACCTGGGCCTGCTCACAGAGAGCTGCCAGCGTGCCCCACAGCTGGCGGCTGCCATCCAAGAGTTCGAGGTGGGTCCCTGGTCCTCTGACAGCCTGCTGGAGGAGTGCAGGGCTGGGCTGGGCTGGGCATCATGGGACCTGTCGCAGACCTATGGGGTGTGTCAGGAGGTCTGAGGCTTGGGACTCAGAGGAAGAACCTCAAGCATTTCCCGTGTGCCAAGGGATGGCCCTTTGGGAAGCCTTGGCCTCAGGCTGGGGCCTCGGGCAACCCTGCTGTCCCAAACCAGGCTGGAGCCTCAGTCTGGGACAAGGTGGTGGGGAGAGCTGAAGAAGTGCCCGACACAGCCCTCCAACTGGAGACCCAGGTCCCACGCAACCAGATGGGAGCATGTCTGCGTCACGAGCATCAGGAGCAGGGCAGGGACGAGGCCAGCTCCATGATGGCCCTCAGCAGGGTTGGGGCATTCCGGGAGGGTTTCCTGGATGGGGTGGAGGACCTGGTTTGAAGTTGGAGGAGAAGTTGGGGTGGGACAGCTGGGTCGCTGACAGGACCTCCGCTTCCCTCTCTGGTGGCAGCAGAGCCAGCAAGGCGGCAGCCAGAGCGTGAAACACCGGCTCCTGAGGGTGGTTCAGCGCCTCTTCCAGTACCAAGTGCTGCTCACAGGTGGGCCTGCAGCTAGTCCAGTGGGAAGGGGCGGGCGGGGCAGGAGAGGGCGGGCGGGGCAGGAGAGGGCGGTAGGGCCCCCAAACAGGCCAGGCAGCAGAGGAGACACTGTGGGAGCAGACTCACCCCAGCCCTGCACAAGCTCCAGGTTCCCTGCCCACACCCGTTTCCCATGCCTAGAGGTGCCAGCGGCACAGCCGGAAGGGCATCACTAACTCCCTGTCCTGCTTCTGCCCACCTGCAGACTATTTAAATAACCTGTGCCCGGACTCGGCCGAGTACGATGCCACGCAGGGTAAGTCGCCGTGAGCCCACGGGGCCTGGGAGGCCTGGCCTTGTTTTAGTCCCCTGTGCGGGCTGTGCCTCGTGTGTGATACCTGCGAGTCTCCGGAGAGAAGCCCCATTTCCCTCCCACCCAGGAGCTCCCTGAGGAATGGGGGCACTGAGGCAGAGAAGGGGGTCCCCAGAACGCAGACACCCCAGGCTCCAGGTCCTGTGTGACTGTCCCTTCCCAGGGCCGGCTGGGGCATCCCTTTTATACTGTGCAGTGCACAGCCGGGGCGATGGAGGCACAGCACTGTAGGGGGCAGGAAGAGCCGGGATTGGAACCTGTGACACTGAGGCAGGAAGAGGCAGTGCCCCCAAGGCCCCGCTGCCACAGTGGTGGGGGAGGGACAGGGAAGGACAGGGGTGAACCCGACAGGGAGAGGTGAAGATCTCCGTGCTAGCCCGGCTGGTCCTCCCCAACGCACCCGGCTGCCTGCCTTCCTCTCCAGGTGCGCTGACCCTCATCTCCAAAGTCACAGACCGCGCCAACGACAGCATGGAACAAGGGGTGAGTGCAGCCACCGGCCCCTTCCCTCGTGGGCAGGCCCTGGGATCCGTCCACCTGCCCCGTGGTGCCCTGCCTCCTGCCCTAGGGGACGGCACAGAGCCATGGGTTCCAGCCCTGATGTGCGGTGAGACCTCAGGTGTGTCCCTCTCTAGGCCTCTCTGGCATACCCTGCCAGCCCAAACCTGGTAAGGCGTGCCCAGCTGTGGTCCAAGGTCACACACAGCAGCCACAGGGACTCTGTGCTCAGACCTTCCCCGGGCGGCGTTTGTGTGAAAGAGATGGCGTTCCTCATGGGCCCCGGGGGCAGACCACTGGAGATTGCACGTGTTACACCCTCAGCAGGTGCTTCCTGGATTCCTGCTGAGGGTCACAGACTTTATCTCACACCCAGCTCATACCAGCTCCATGTGTGTGGTCACCATTGTGCCGTGTGTGCAACAAGCTGTGGGTGTGCTAGAGCTCCATTGAAAAGGATTCTGAGGCTTAGTCCTAGCTCAGTGCGAAAGTGAGCAGGGAGCAGTTAGGCATGCCTTCCTCAGGCCTAGAAAAGGGGGTGATGGCAGCCCATGTGTTACCATGTTCCGCTTCGCTGTGGCAGAGGCACAGGGTGCCTTTGCAGTGGGCCATCCTCAGATGGGGCGAGTGGAAGGACCCCGTGTCCTGTGCTGTGCTAGAGGCAGCAGGTGGCAAGGTGGCTGGATGTGAAGCCCAGCCCTGAGGCAGTCAGTCGCAGCTCTGTGGAGCAGTTTCTGGTGGGAGGGTGTCCTGGGCAGAAATGACATTGGGTGGTTGGTGCTGGGTGGGTGCAGGGTTTGGAGAAGGGAGCTGTGCCTTAAGCTGCCGATGGGCAGGATTTGCAGAGGGACTGGGGGTACAGACCTTCCGGCTGGTTTCTCTGTACACAGCTCTCACCTCGTGCCCGTGGGGCCTGGCCCAGTGTCGGGCTCGGGGGACACCTGTGTAGGGGCGGGGTTTCTTATTTCCAGGATTGCAGGTGGCTCTGCCGAGGGGTGGAGGTATGCTCTGTGCACCCTGGGGTGGCTCCATGAGGGATCTGCGAGTGGCTTGAGCACCTGTGTTTCTAACCATGAGGTCTTAAGAAAGCAGATGGTCCCCAGCCACTGAAATTGGGGTGCTCCAGACCTAGCAGTGGGTGATAAGAGGAGCATGGGCCCAGAGACAAAATAGGAGCTTCAGATGTGGCCAGGCCCGTGGCCCCCAGGCAGGCGGCAGGCCCAGAGACCAGCCTGGCAGTCCACAGAGGCTGGAGTCCCAGTGCCACCATTCTTGGGAGTTTGAGGTCTGGATGAGGCCATTCTGGGCACACTGGGAAGCAGAAGCACCCCACCTCCCATATGGCAGAGACAGGACCCTTGAGGGGGCCCTGACCGTCTCCCCCTCCCTTCCCACTCTGGCCGCAGGAAAACCTGCAGAAACTGGTCCACATTGAGCACAGCGTGCGAGGCCAAGGGGATCTCCTCCAGCCAGGAAGGGTAAGTGCGGCCACCACTGCAGGCCGGGCAGAGCGGGGCGGATGGCATGAGGTGCCGGTAAGCTTCGCTGTTGGACCGGGTCACCAGACAGGCCTGGCAGCAGAGTGCGGGCTCCTGCCTGCAGCTTCCGGCTGCCTGCCCTGGCTTGCACGGCTTGCCTGTACTCGTGGGGTGCAGTGGGGTGCCACGGATGCTGTGCTGCTGTCTACACCAAGCCTGCTGAGTCCACGCTGGCTAGGAAAGTCGGCAGGAAGCTCTCCAGTCAGTCCTACACAGCCTGGTCCTCTCAGTCACCTCTTTGCTTTTACACTTTCTTATGGAAACACACACAACTTGGCTCAAAAATAGTGGCTGTGGCAGGTCGTAACTCCCAAGGGTCAGGAGGGAGGCAGAGGTGGGCGAGGTGTGCCCAGGGCTGTTGGTGGGGTGTGTGCAAGGACCAGGACCTCTTAGGCTGTGGTGCAGTCCTTGGCAGGCTCTGGCCAGGCCCGTGAGTCTGGGCATTCATTCTGAGCCGTCTGGCTGAGTCCTTCAGAGTGAAGGGGACCCAGCCACTGTCCATAGCCACAGCTGACTGAGCAAACCTTCAGGCCCCCTGGTCTGAGCGGATCCCTCATTGTGGCACACAGGGAGGAGGGAGTCATGGTGGGACTAGGTGGCCGCCTCGGCGTGGGCTGAGCTGGGCGCGCCCTGGTGTTGCCCTGTTCCTTGCGAGGCTCCATGATTTGAACTTGCCACCTCTGTATCCCTGACACAGCTGTCCGCCTCTGTCCCCTGCAGGAGTTCCTCAAGGAAGGGACGCTGCTCAAGGTCACTGGTAAGAACAGACACCCCCGGCACCTGTTTCTGGTAAGTCTGCCCCGAGTTCTGTGAGTTCCCTTAGTGCTAATGACCAAGGCAGGAGGGAGGAACAGAGCGGAGCCTCAGGCATGAGGAGACCCGGGTGCAGGCAGCCACCACATCCCAGGCTGCGGTGTCCCCGTGGGTAGCGGGAGCCAGCACAGTGACCCTGTCCAGGCAGCACAGGTGAACTTTATATTGAGGGTAAGAGACCCTTCTGGATGGGAGGGCAGCTAGGTCCTGGTCTGGTGGCCACTCGCTGTGTGGCCATCTCCTGCTTGCCTCTCTGCCTTCCACAGGCATAGAGGTCACGACAGGCCTTCCCCCACCCCTACTGTCACCCAGCTGGGGTACTCAGTCCTTGCTGCTTGCTGCCTGCAGGCCCCTCCTGGGTGCACTGTCCCTGGCAGGTTCCCTGGGGTCCATCCTTTGTCATTATGCCACACCCAGGGGACGCAGGCGAGCAGTGCCCGTTTCCTCTTGGGAGCTTCGCACAGATGTGAGCGCACTGCAGCTCCATCACGTCTGGCTGCTTCCAGTCCCTGTGGTTTGTGTGGGCAGTATGTGGCCTCTGCTTGCCGGGCAGAGTCCCAGGCGTAGACGCAGTGGGGCTTGTTGGTCCTGCCACCACGCAGAGCTGCTGAGAGCACTGTGTCCCTCCTGTGCCTGGGCGCTGAGCGTCCAGCATGCTGCCTCTGCGCACACACTCCCCCATGGGAGCCTCGGGGAATGGCAGGTGCCATGTGCCCTGTAGCCCCGGGGACTGCAGCAGAGCCCAGGGGACCGCACAGCCTTAAGGTGGATGGCCGAGCCTGCCTGTGCCGCTCTCTCCCCAGATGAGCGACATGCTCCTGTATACCTACCCCTTGAAGGATGGGAAGTACCGCCTGAGGAGCTCGCTGCCCGTGAGCGGCATGAAGGTACCTGGAGCTGGGCACTCGGCGGGTGGCGGGGAGCCTGAGGCAGGCTCGGGCAGCAGCCCTCCTCCCAAGATCACCCAGTGCAGCCAGCCCGCAGGCAAGGGCTGCAGCCAGGGCATGCCTCGGGCAGTCAGGGGACCAGGGAAGGAGGGACAGAGGGATCTGTGCCCTTGGGGGTACTACTAGACCCAACGTGGGATAGGGCAAGGGGGCACAATCCAGGCGGAGGAAAAGAAAGACCTGGAGGCGACAGCAAGCAGGGGTTTGGCGGTTTCACCTGTGGCTGGGCACGCGTGGTGTGGCGTGAGCCACCTGAAGTGCTGTGACACCTGCGGTTCATCCATGTGATGCATGCCTGGTGCCCGTCTCCGGAACGTCCTCATCTTCCTCAGCTGAAAGCTCCCTCTCCCACCACTTCTGAGTGCCTCCTTGGGGTGGCTGGTCTCCAAGCCTGGCCTTCTCAGGGCCTCTGAGCAATAGCCTCCCAACCTTGTCTGGGTAGACCCCACCATATCCACGGGTACAGCCATTGGGATACCCCTCCCGGCTGCTGTGCCCTGTGGGTCACCCCATGTAACCTGGTCAGGCTTTGGGACCACTGGGATTCTCCAGCAGTAAGAGATTTTAGGAGGTTAATTAGCAGACTGCAGTGGGAGGTGGTGGTGGGCTCCAGGGGGCAGAGTCGGGTGGCCACAGCGTACCTGGGGCAGCCGGGCGTCCCTGGGACGGCTTCTGCCATCACAGACAGAAGGGAACAGGCCTCTGCTCCCACTCTGAAGGGGGCTGCCGGGGGTCTTCCAGGTCAGCCGCCCTGTGACAGAGAAAGTGCCCTACGCCCTCAAGATCGAGACTCCCGAGTGCTGCCTGATGCTGTCTGCCAGGTGGGTGGGGGCAGTGGCGGGGGGAGCCTGCAGGGGCTGGCTGTGCTGTCTGGTCCTTGCTGTATGGCCTTGAACCACTGTCAGCAGGCGATCACCTTCCTGCTGGCCTGGCTTGTCTGCACTGAAGCTCTGGGAACGGCAGAATCTGTGCATGTGATGCTGACATGACTTCTGCCACCCTCATTCCAGCCAGGGCCCAAGGCAGACTGTGTGCTGATATGCAGGGTGGGGGGCGCCATCTAGTGGACACAGTAGCAATTTCTTCCTAGCTGCTGATTTCTTGCAGCGCCCAGACAGACCATCCATCCTTCTCATGTACAGATGTCTGGAAAGCTGTGTGGGAAGGTGGAAAGGTGGAGGGACACAGGGTTGCCCTTACCAGCTCTGCTTAGAGTGCCCAGTTAACCAAGAACCCTCCTAGTGTGGGGACCGCCTGCGCCTGCCTGATAGCCCAACTTTTGCCCAGTGCCTTGCTGACAACATGGTGTTCCCCTCACATACCTCATCTCAGCCTGACAGTTAGAGGATTGTCTTGGATGTCCTATGAAGAAGTGGGCCTCGGAGCACATGTCCACACTTACACGAGAGGGCAGGTGCCTGTGTGTGGGCGGGGCAGCAGGCATGGAAAGCTCATGCCGGCATGGCTCATTATGGCAATGCCCACAGCTCCTGCGCGGAGAGAGACGAGTGGTACGGCTGTCTGAGCAGAGCCCTTCCTGAGGACTACAAGGCCCAGGCCCTGGCTGCATTCCAACACAGTGTGGAGGTGAGTAGGCAGCAGGGCCTGCTGGCTCACCCTGGTGCGGCCAGGAGCACCATGTGCCCAGCTGCACCTCCTGCCCCCCACCCAGGCAAGCTGCCAGCACTGGGGTCCCCTGCAGCCAGCTGTCTCCTGGCCATGCTGCTCACTCCTGCTGCTTGTCTCCCCTGCTGCAGATCCGGGAGAGGCTGGGGGTCAACCTGGGGGAGAGGCCGCCCACCCTGGTGCCAGTCACCCACGTCATGATGTGCATGAACTGCGGCTGTGATTTCTCCCTCACCCTGAGGCGACATCACTGCCATGCCTGTGGCAAGGTGAGGCTCCCAGGAGTGAGGGTCAGGGATGGCCAGCAGCGGCTACGTGCTAGGCACAACTGTACCAGCCCTGAGTGGCCCTGCTGCACCGACCCCCTGAACCCTGGGCTCCCGAGCTGCAGCCCGTCACGTGGCCCCATCAAGTTTTCAGGATACACGTGGCAGCTTTTACGTTTGTGCTTCTTTGCGGGGGGTGGGGGGTGGCGTGCAGAGAGGAAGGGGTGGCGGTGTCCCTGTGGGCACACCAGGCAGCCTGGGCTGGGGGCTCCTGGAGGACATGGGGCTGGTGGGCTGGTGGGCGGGCAGAACCAGGACCCCTGCTGTCTGCCTTGTTGGCTGGGGCTCATGGTCCCCTTGGGCCTGCAGATCGTGTGCCGGAACTGCTCGCGGAACAAGTACCCCCTGAAGTACCTCAAGGACCGCATGGCCAAGGTGTGCGACGGCTGCTTCGGGGAGCTGAAGAAGAGGGGCGGGCCGGTCCCCAGCCTCATGAGAGGTATCCTGTGCTGTGCACGCCTCCTTCCCACAGGGCATGGGGTGGTGGTCCTCGGCCCCTGAGGACACAGAGGCTCGAGTCCACACTGGGGCACTTTTCCAAAGCACTGATTCTGGGGCTGAGTGGCCAGTGCTCCCAGAGGGTTCCCTGGGACCTTCTTCAGGATAGGAGCATACAGATGGGTAATGGAGGGACTGTGGATTGGGGTAAAGGGGCGCTGGGCCTTTGACAGAGGAACCTGCGGAGGCAGAGCCAACCATAGGGGCACTCGGGGCTTTGGGGCACAGCCATACCCAAGCAAAGTTGGTGAAAGAAGGGCAAGTGCACCCTGGGCCTAAGACTATGTCATTTCCCCTCCTTCCACGGGGGCCCAGCCCCATCCTTGTATCCCGAGGGCTTGGAGAAGAGCTGCCTGTGGCCCTGGGAAAGCCTTCCCTCCCAGGCGTCGCAGGAGGGGTGCGGCCGCCCCTGCTAGCCCTTAGCTAGCTCTTAGCTGCTTGCGGTCTCCCCACACAGAGCGGCCCGTGAGTATGAGCTTCCCTCTGTCGTCGGCTCGCTTCTCCGGCAGCGCCTTCTCTTCTGTCTTTCATGGCATCAACCCCTCGGCTTTCAAGAAGCAGAAGAAAGTCCCTTCGGCCTTGACGGAGGTAGGGCGGGCAGGACTGCCTGGAGGGGAGAGGAAGGGGAGCTGGGAGGGGAGCCTTTGGGTGTGGCAGGGTCAGGTCTGCCCCCGCCCCAGCCTGGCCTGTGTCTTTGGGACAAAGGATTCCTAGCAGGAGGCATTCTAGGGGCAAGGTCTGAGCCTGGCACCCCACATCCTGGACAGTTCTTGGGAACTAACCTGCCCCCAGGCATGCTAGGGAAGACACCGAGCTGGCGTCGGGTAGACCCTGATGTTGGCAGTGACCTCCCGCCTCCTGTAGCTCCCAGCTGCCTGCGCACAGCTCTAGGGCACCTCACGCCCACTGAGCTCTACTGGGCTCTCCCCCTGGGGCCTCCCGGGTGGACCCAGGACATCAGCCCTCTGGGACTCTGAGAACTCAGGACTGTGCAGTACAAAGGGAAGCAGGCTGAGTCTGTTCTAGCCCCTGAAGAGCTGGCGCTTCCCCACGAGTATTCAGGACCAGTAGCAGGTAGTCAGAGGTTCGAAGGATGCCAGCGGATGAAAACCCAACACAGGCACAGTTCTGTCCACCAAAGTTATGTTGGAAACAGCACAGATATGGTTTTAAAAAAAAATTGTATTTCCAAGAGACCATGGATGACAAGTGAGTCTCTTTTAAAGATGATTTCCTATTGGCTCGTGGGTGGAGTGTCACCACTCTGTAGGGCGTGGCTCTGCTACAGACAGGGGAAAGCCACGCCTCCATTCAGGTTCAGGTCAGTGGAGTCAGGCCCACAGAGCGGGAGCAGGCCACGGGTGGGAGTTTGAGAACCCAGGTCCCTGGTCAGCCCCCGCCAGCCCCTGGGGAACTTTTGTCCCCAGGTGACCAGCTGAGCGGCATTCAGCGGCCTCAGTAGCGTCTCCAAGAGGAAGGAGCCCATATCCCCCTGACCTTCCCCCTCAGGGGAGAGGACAGCTTCCCCACTAGGTTCTGCCCTCTGACCCTGGGCATTCGGCCTATGTCCAACGCTGACTCTCAGGACTGATGTCGGCGTAGAACTGCACGCCAGTTTTGTGTCCTGGTGCCTAAGCAGCTTACAGATTCCCTCCCTAAATCCAAGTTCGCCCAGCTCCCAGCACCATGTGCTGGGCAGAGGAAGGGCTGTCAGTAGGTCCCTCGGATCCCTGCCTGTAAAATGAGGCCGGGTGAAATGACTCTGAGACCCTGATTGTCTTGCTCTGAGTGTCAAATTCAACATCGGGGGACTTCCTGAGAGCCAGGCCCCCTACACCTGGCTCGTCATCTAATCCCCCTTTGACGGGCGAGGGAGCAGAAAGGCAGTTACCTGACACTCAAGCAGCACAGGTGGCCGGCTGCGGGTCATGGGTCACAGGTCACCGCTGCCCCCAGCCAGGAGCTAAGGCAGCAACTCCACGCCTTCACATCAGGAAGCCCTGTCGGTAAACGGCGCAAGGAGGCAGGTCCCTTGAGAAAGATAGAAGCTGGGGTGTGAGGCTCTATTCTAGGAGAAAGAACCCACAGCCCATGGTGCGGGGGCCCAGAGCTGGGACAAGGGGTCCCAGGATCCGAAAGGCCTCCCACAGCAGGGCACCCCTGGAGGAGGTTCTGGTGGCCTACAACCCTGGTCTCTCCACCACGGACCTTGCTCCTGGATGGGCCTTGCCCGAGCATCAGGTAGCAAGGCAGGGCCAGCAGGCCACCTGTAGTATCCAGTGTCATCTTGGCTGTGTTTCAGCTGTGCCCACCACCTGGGCGCTGACCGCTCTGCCTCCCTCCTGCAGGTGGCTGCCTCCGGGGAGGGCTCCGCCATCAGCGGCTACCTCAGCCGGTGTAAGAAGGGCAAGCGGCACTGGAAGAAGCTGTGGTTTGTCATCAAAGGCAAAGTTCTCTACACCTACATGGCCAGTGAGGTAGTGGACACATGCTCGCGCGCTGTCTCTTGGGTCGAGGTCCTGCTCAGAGGTCCCACCTGGGATCCACATGTGTCCTGCAGGGACAGTCCTCAGGGCAGTCGCAGGTCCCAGCCTGTCAGGAGGTCAGCGGGCCTGGTGTGCAGGGTGAGCGAGGTATGCCAGGGTGCTGCTCTCTGCTCGGGCTGCTTGGCACCCAAAACCTGCCTGGAGGAGGCACCTTCTCGCCTGCCCGTTGCTTCCACCAGGGTAACCGGTCACTGGCACCCTTGCTCCTGAAATGCCTCTATGTTTTTGCTGTAGAGCTGAGTGTTTGTAGGAAGCTGCCGTCTAAAACACAGGCTAGAAAGCCGTGGATGTCAGCCTGCTTCTGGGGAGCCCTGTGGGGGCATGTAGGGGGCTCCTCTCTCCAGGCTGCACAGCTGGTGGCTTCTAGAGGCCAACCAGCCTTGACAGCTGTCTCCCCCCCACTCCCGCAGCAGCACGACCTGGGGCAGAGAGCTTGTCCTTATTGAGGGCCCAGGAGAAGCAGGCTGGGGGAGGCACCCTTCACTTCCACATCCAGGGTGGGACAGGGCGGGGTCCTATGCCAGGGTGAGCTCTGCTGAACATGCAGAGGGGCTTGCCACGTGCTTGCCTGCAGCCCCAGCAGCTTCTAAAGTGGGCATCACGCCACAGGTCCTTGCAGGCTGGTGCTCCTGAGAGAGGAGCCCATGTCATGAGCCCCAGACAAGAAGGCCCACCTCTCGCGGGGCCTCAGGCAGAACTGTGCAGGACACAGTGAGGAAATGCAGGCTCAGTTATCTGTATGAGAGCTGGCAATGCCGAGGTGAGCAGCCAGGGTATGGCAGGGGACCAGCCCAGGTGCCCAGAGAGCCAAGCTGGGCTCCAGAAGGAGGAACAAGCTCGATTTCTCATGATGGGCAGAGCTTTTCCAGATCCTGCAAAGCAGAAGGCAACTTGGAGGAAACTGACGGGCAGGTTTCTTTTCTTTCTTTTTTTTTTTTTTTTTTTTGCAAAGTCAGATACACAGAGAGGAGGAGAGACAGAGAGGAAGATCTTTCATCCGATGATTAACTCTCCAAACGGCCATAATGGCTGGAACTGCACCAATCCGAAGCCAGGAGCCCAAAGTCTCTTTGGGTCTCCCCCTGTGGGTGCAGGGTCTCAAGGTTTTGGGCCATCCCTGACTGCTTTCCCAGGCCACAGGCAGGGAGCTGAATGGGAAACGGGGCTGCCGGGATTAGAACTGGTACCTATATGGGATCTCAGTGTGTGCAAGGTGAGGATGTTAGCTACTAGGTTACCACACCAGGCTCTTCTTTGTTCTTTTTCTTAACAGTCAATTATATTTTTAGTTTGAGAGGCAAAGAAGACCCTAGAGGTGGGCAGGGTGAATCCATGCTGACCATGGCTGAGACTGGCGCTCCTTCCAGGAAGGAACCCAGTGCAGGTCTGCCCCATGGATGGCAAGAACCTAACCACTTAGCCCTCAGCACTGTCCACGAGGACATGCGTTGGCAGAAGCTGCAGTGGAGGACAGAGGCAGGGATGCGGAGTGCCATGCAAGTGCGTCAGCCGCCAGGCCAAACGCCTGCCCAGAAATGAATCCTGTCACCGGTGAAGTTTATAACCGCCAGTGTTTTCTTTGATGGCTGTTTGCCATGTCCAGAGAGCCTTCTGTCTGCTGCAGGTCGGAGTGCACCATGTACTGAGGAGGTTGGAGGGTGGTCGCTTGGCAGTGCCGAAGCAGGCGCCACACAGAGGTGCTCTTCGTGCATCTTGGACCAAGGGGGCAGGAGTGCTGAGTGCTTGACACGGCAGTGCGGTGCGGTGTCTCATCCAGGCTCTGCCTTCTTCCCTCTGCAGGACAAGGTGGCCATGGAGAGCATGCCTCTGCTGGGCTTCACCATTGCCCCGGAAAGGGAGGAGGGCAGCAGCCAAGGGGGGCCTGTCTTTCACCTCTACCACAAGAAAACCCTGTTCTACAGCTTCAAGGCAGAGGATGCCAGCTCGGCTCAGAGGTACCAGGGGTTCCCCAGGCCTGTGTCTCCTTGCCTCTCAAAGACACTACCTGATATCGGGGCTCCAGTCACCCCTTTGTCGTGTTTCTCTGAGCCATAGCACAGCTACCAGTTCCTAATGGCAAGAGCCTGCAGACTCCAGTCAAGTGTCACGTTTACAGTGGTGGTGTCATGAAATGATAAAGGAGCTGGAGAGTGGCACCAGCCCACGCCACTACAGCCAGTCAGGTCAGGGTTAAGGAATTTCCTGGTGATCCTGGTGTGAGAAAGTAGGGCGCAGTAGCAGTGTATACAGATACTTGACTGCCACACCACCTTGCTGCATGTGCACCCCGCTTGAGGTTTGCATGGTGATAACCCTAACACTTTCTCAGATGTGTCAGTACTACGGTGCCTCTGTGCAGGCATGCATCGATTCCATAAACGTTTTCTCTGTGTCCCAAGCCATTTGCTAAACACGTAAAACATACTGAGAAGCAGAGATGAACAGGACTTAGTCCCTGACTTGCAACTAACAAGTAATCTAGTCTGGTCACTGCAGGTCTCTTCTGTCCTGCAGGTGGATAGAGGCCATGGAGGACGCGAGTGTGTTATAGCATCAGCGACTGGGTGGACTGAGGACACTGACATGTGAACCCTGGGAGAAGCTGGGCTCCTGCGACCGCCCCTGGATCCAGCCTGGGGTTTGAGCTTTTTGCCTTAGCCCTGCCCTCCCTTCATCAGTGAACCAGCAGTATTTATGGTCCTCTCCCCAGTCAGCAGCTATTTCCTTATCCAACAGCAACTTACAGCCTGCTAACAGGAAGCTGTGGAAACCAACAGGAAAGTTGAAATACAGGCCTTTCAGTAGCAGTGGGCTTTTCCACCTTCATGGTGTCTATCACGGTGCCGCAGGAGAAACGACCAACAGCCAGTAAGGAACAGCGCCTCTCAACAAAGCACTTTATTGTTTCCCTGAGCTGCAGCCTCCACTCTTGTTTTCCAAGTGATCCACTGGAGTCAGAGCAGACGTGGAGCCCGGGCACTGACCGTGGCCAGCCCTCTCACAGGGTGGACAGAGGCTGACTTGCGCAGCCCTGGTGGTCACCCCAGCACATAAAGAGCGTCACTGCGGAGGCCACGGGGAAAGAGCGTTTTCTCCTCCAGCTGACCACACTGTGAGCTGTAACCTGCACTTGCTGCAGGGCGCTCCCTCGTCCCACGCCACCCAGCACTGGGCATGCAGCTTCCAGAGGTAGCCTTCACTTGGTGTGTGCCTTCTTGTGTGGAGCCCACTTGAGCTACGGCCTCACACACGTGGAAACCAACCCTTATTTTAGATCCACAGGAATCCTTGTGCTGAATCACCCAAACGCTTTTACTTTGGGGAAGTGGGAAGAGGAGAAATGGGATCATGAGGAGCCGAATTCCTGTCTCCTCTGGGCACAAGGGAGCGCACACAGGGTGGCCTGAGGACGCCCCAGGATCCATGAAGACCACCTGCTATGCTGAGAAGGGGGTGTTGCTATGGGTTCCTTGCTACTCTGTTGCATTTTCTGATATCCTGTCCACATTCTGCTGCCCTGCCCCCTAAAAAAAGGTATAGGCTGACAAACCTTTTGTAAAAAATGATCATCTCAAGGACTTATTTACATTAAATATTTTCAGGGGAAATGTTTTTTTCTATTTTCTTTTGAAATGTTTGCATTAAATGTGCAATGAGTGACCGAGTGGCTAGCAGACCCTCCTGTTTCTTTGGGGGACTGGATTCCAATGACATATTTGTCATCTAGTATCTGAACGGGCCTCCCAGACCTGCTGAGCCTTCGGAAGCACAGCCGACTTCAGTACAACCTGCCCCTTATCTGCGGTGTCTCTCTGGGTTTCAGTTACCTGTGGTTAGCCGCATTTGCAAAATGACTTTGTTCCAGATAACTTCTGCTGCAGAGTGTTGTAACTGTTGTGATGACTAGCTGTTGTTCTCTTACTGTACCTAGCTTACCAAGCATGCATGTGTAGGACAAACAGTGGTACTTTGAAACATTTGTGGGAAAATGGAATTAAGATAACCTTTTTGGCGCAAAAATATTTTGAAATCCATGCAGTTTTTTTCATACTATACTCTCTCCCATAAATTCTGATGTGTGGATTTCAAATTTTTTTTACATCAAAATAAAGTTATCATGTAATTCCACTTCTCGTGTATTTCCTGAAGTTTGCAGCCATTGAGGGCTTGGTGTTACCGTTGGTCTCAGGATCCCCGGGGCTCGTGGAACACCCCCACCTGGCACCAGGGGAAACTGCTCTTGCTTCCTGCCCCTGCAGTCATGTGAATGTCTTTCACTGGCCAGTGTCTCCTTTCTGATGCTCCAACATAAGCAAGCAATGCCCGGCTCATAGAAAACAGACTAGATGGGGTGTGGCCAGCACTCAGGTTCCACAGCTAACTTGTCACTGGGCACACCCTGCTTCCTCTGGTCCTGTTTTCTCCTGTCCTTCCCGTGGCTCTCGAGAAACTCAACTGCCATTCTCTCGTCTTGCCCATCTCTCTCACCCATGCCAGGCACCTGTCTTTGAGTCATGGAGAGTGTAGCCATTTGGCCTAAGGGCACTTCACCCTGGGCTCAGATTCCAGTGAGGGGATCAGATGTTGACATCACGGTGATGCTACCCAAAGACACCTGTCCTGCCCTGCTCCGGGGTCATACCAGTACATTCGCTCTGTTCCACTGGCAGGGGCTCCATTTACTAGAAGAAAAGCAGTGCAGTGCTAAGGTGAAGGCCAAAGAGTAGAAAGCTCCTGTCCTGGAACCTCACCCCTTTCAATGACGGAGTTGGGAGCCCTGGTGTGTTTTGTCATGTGTAGATCATTCTAGCTGCTCCCTAGGGCTTGAGGGGAAAAGCACGGGCTGACCATGTGTGTAGCTCCAAACCCACCAAGCCAGTGGGCTGGAGGTAAAGCCATGTGCCCTATCAAAAGGAAGACAGTCCGTACAAGGCTCTTCCTCCTCATCAGTGACAATGAGAAGCCCCGAGTAACCAGGCCAAACCATTTGGTCATCACAGCTCCTTCCCTCCTGCCTGCTTCTTAGAACCAATGTGGGGTTTTACGGAAAGCAGGCAGCACTTTTTGGTTCCTCTAGTCTAGACTGCACTTAGTGGACCAGATTTTCTGGTCAAGGCCGGTAAGACAGATTAGCTCTCCCTCCCAGGCTGCAGCAGGATCCCAGGCTGCAGGCATGGTGGGGGGGCTGCCGCATTCCTGGAGCCTGGGGTATGTACAGGGCTGAGGACCCCGGCAGCCCTGCTGCCGCAGCCACCCAGGAAGGTGTGCCCAGTCCAGGGCAAGGGTCTCCACGGAGCAGAGAAGCCCTCAATGGGGCTCAAAGCAGTAGGACCAGGCCTGGAGCTGAGTCTCTCTCTGCCTCAGGACAGTCAGCACTGGGCTGGAGTGTCCCTCTTTTCACTGAAGCACCCAGTGTTTTGTGACTTCTCTCATCAGGGAGGCTTTATGTTTCTCCACATTCATGTTCAGTGCAGGGGACAGATACGCACACACAATGTCTCCTTTCAGGAGGCAAATTAATAAATTAGCTCAACAAGAGTAAGTCCAAAAGCAGGGTGGGTTCAGGATTAGCTAATATCCTCAACCGAGTCCTTGGGGTTTTTCTGACCTGCTGTTCACACTGTTGGTCTGATTCCTGGACTGGTTCCCAGGAAGTCAGCGCTTCCAGGCCTTCCTGGACCCAGAGCTCAGCCTCCTGGGGCTGGGAGTCCTCTAGGACTTCCTCACATCTGCCTGTTCCTCAGTCTGTGGCTAGAAAGGAGACCACCAGGACAGCCACAGACCACCAGCTGGAGGAGGGCTGGCTGCTGGGAATTCAGCCTCAGCATCCATCCCATGACTTGGCTTGCCATGGATTGGGGTCACCAGATGAGCACACTCAGGGCAGCTACCTGGGCGTTTACTATATATGCCTGCTATATACCACAGTATATAGTATAGTTGTTATTACTAATCCTTTAAGCTCTGAATCAAATGCAATTATGAAATCAATAGCCAAACACTAGTGGCCACTCAAGGGTCCTTAGGAGGCCCTCTGTGGGATGAAGTGCCAAAAGCCTCCATCTATTCTCCCTGGAACCCTCCAGAGGCAGGCTCATTATCCCCATTTGCATTACAAGCACAGAACCACTTCCCCCAGGAGCACACCCCAGCAAACCCAGAGGGGCAGATTCTGCAACAGGTGGGATGGAGAGCAGAGGTGAGAGAAAGCACAGCTCAGAGTGTGTGACTAACACAATTCAGTCCAGTCATGGGCAGCGATCTTGGTTCATCACCAGACCAAGACTACAGTAGAAACATTAATGTACAAATGGTGTGTTTTCACATTCTTGGCTGAAAAGCAATGAAACTCAAGAGAGCTTGCACTGGTGCCATAAGACATGACCCAAGACCTTTTCAGAATCTGACACCATTTGAAGCACTAACAACATTCTCTGGAAACAAGACCTGGAAGGATACTGGGAGCTCAGGGACACCAACGTGGCCAAGAGCAGAGCTACAACCCATCGCTGGAACAGGGCAGCTGACACTGCTTGCTCCACTTCCAAGCCTGATTGCTGAGAACTCCCAGGCAGGCAGAGTTAAATAACTCTGAAACTAGGGAACCAAGTGCAAGAACCTAATTTTCCATCCCTCCCAAAGGGGGTTCACACCTCCTCAGAGTAAGATCTGCGGCTCAGCGATATCTGAGCATACCCTTTCCAGGGCCAGGCACCCTGGGCTAAAGGACTAAAGGAAAACGACTCCCAGGAGGAAGCGAGGAAGGACAGTGCTTGGGGTGTCCCTGGGTCCCTGCACCACCAGCCCACAAGAACAATGGTCCTTTCTCTTGGGAAGAACAAGGGCTACTTACACAGCAGTTGAAACCTTTCCAAGTAGCCTGACGGCTGGGATAGGGCACAAGAAGGTGAGTAAAAAAGGATGCTGAGCCCCCGAGGACAGAAGCGGAGAACTAGGCAGAAGTACGAGATCTTGGAGAAGTGCTCCCTGTTTAGGCCTCACCCTTTTAGGCTGTAAAAACAGGAAAATACAATCTGTCTCACAAGGTTATAAGATAGGATAATGTGTAAGAAGCATGCAGTGTCATGTTCAAACAGTGTGTGTATTCAGATTCCACACTTTTTTAAAAGGTTAACAGTAACTACATGAGGCTTAAAAATTTACAATCATTTTTAATTATACAAATGATAGAAACAAGTCTGATGAGATTACACTATAAATACAGAAAAATGAATATAAATTTGTAGACAAACACACGTCTGGAAGATTACAAATTAACACTGTATTATGTACCCTGCAACTGCTTGTAGGGTTAACCACCACCTCCTGAACGGCCTCCAATGTGGTAAAGTGGTGGCTGGGTCCTTACACGCATGCCCCAAAGCCACGTCATAGCTGCTTCTCTTACTGCTCACCCGGCCAGCCCTCCCACCTCGGCCACACGCTGGGGCATCAGGTGAGGGGAACTGAACAACTCAGCCACCACAGAAACATTTAATATTTAAAAGTTTAGTGCAAATGCAATGTTCCCAAAGACCTCCTTGACACTGT